TGTGCCATGGAGTCAGTTCTGACTCATAGCGACCCTGTGCAGGGTTTCTGAGCCTTTAAATCTTCACGGGAGCAGAAAGCCTCATCTTCCTCCTGTGTAACAGCTGGTAGTTTCGAACTGTTGACCCTGAGGTTAGCAGCCCGATTCATAACCACTACGCTGGTCTTCCCTGTAGGTACATGGATAGTATCCTATCACAGACAGCGTTGTACCTCATGACTGACTAATCTGGATATATTCTTTTTGACAATGAATGTAACACCATTCCTCTTCAATTTGTCATTCCCGGCATAGTAAACCATGTGGTTGTCAGATTCAAAATGGCCAATACCAGTCCATTTCAGCTCACCAATGCCTAAGATATCAATGTTTATGCATTCCATTTCATTTTTGACAACTTCCGGTGTTCCCAGATTCATACTTCGTACATTCCATGTTCCGATTTTCAGTGAATGTTTACAGCTGTTTCTCTTCATTTTAGAGTTGTGCGCCCTCAGCAAATGAAGGTCCCGTGGGCTTTTCTCCCACATGCTTTACTCCATTCACGTCATCACAGTCAACTTTACTTTGAGGAGGCAGGTCTTCCTTCAGTCACATTTTGAGTGTCTTCCAACCTGAGGGGCTCATTTTCTGGCACTATATTTGACAGTGTTTCTCTGCTATTCATAAGGTTTTCAGTGACTAAATATTTGAAAGTAGTTCATCACTCCTTCTTTCTAGTCTGTCTTCATTTGGAAGCTCATCTGAAACCTGTCCACCATGGGTGACACTGCTGGTATTTAAAATACCCATGGCATAGTTTCCAGAATCACAGCAACTCACAAACCACCACAGTAATTCATAAAATCCAAGGATACATAAAATTCAAGAGCAATTTTGGAACTACAAGGGGGCTTCAAAAACTCGTGGAAAAATCCCATGAGCATTGTAGTCCATTTTTCCACAAACCTTTCAAAGCCTTCCCATATGCTTGTGTGCTGATGTTTTCATAGCCCCAGTGTTGGAGTTGGGAGCTGGGGACCATCTGTGGATGCTTTCGGGTTTCCCCACTGGTAGATCTCAGGATCACCGTGAGCTGACGTGTTCCTATGCTAATGGGTACTCTGGGTCCTCGTCCACACAGACACTTGGCTTTGAAGAAATCAAGTAGGCTTTTCTTTGGTTAGCCAAGACCCCAAAATGAAATGCAATTCCAAATGGAGGGGGGAAACAACGTTTCTGAAAGAAAAACAAAAGTTTGCTCACTTTCTAGAGGTTTGGATTGGCTGTTCTTGAGGAAATGGAAAGTAACAAGTATAAGCAAGGCTGCGGAGAAATGGGAACCATCCTCCCTTGGGATTGTACATGGTGCCGCTGTTGTAGAAAGCAGTTTGGAGGTTCTTCAGACAGTTAAGCTTCGGGCAGTCATGTTGTTGTTGTTGTGAAGTGCCGTTGAGTCGATAACGACCCATAGTGACCCCGCATAGGGTTTCCAAGGAGCAGCTGGTGAGCTTGAACCACCAACCTTGCAGTTCAGACGACTTTGCAGTTTGATGCATTAGCCCACAGTGCCACACCAGGACTCCTCGGGCAATAATGAGGCCCAGCATTTCCACTCATAAGTGCACGAACAAAACTGAAAGGAGGGACGTCAGCAGATGCTTGTACCCCTGTGTTTACTGGAAACAGCCGAGGAATGGAAACGCAGCACATGGCCCATACACACAGAGGGACAGTAGACATCCATAGAAAAGGTGCTTACATACACTGTGAAAACGAGGAAGCTTGAACTAAGGCAGACATAAAAGGACAAACATTGTATGAACTCATTTATGCACAATATTTTAAATGCTCATAGGTAAAACCATGAAGACAAAACAAGATTCTTGCTTGCCAGGGAGTGGGGCCAGGGACAGATGAGGGCATGGGGACAGTTTTAAAAGGTGGAGAAAAAGAACAATTCATCACCTAAGCATACTACAAGAAGCTCTGGTAGTGTAGTGGTTACGAGTTGGGCTGCCAACCTCAAGGTTGCAGTTCAAAACTACCAGCTGTTCTGCAGGAAAAAGATGAAGCGTTCTGCTCCTGTAAAGATGTATAGCCTCGGAAAACCCTGTACAGGGTTGCTGTGAGTCAGAACTGACTCCACTCCACGGTATTTAACAACAAGTATACCACAAAGGAGCTCTGGTAGCATTGTGGTTATGAGTCACATTGTTAATCTCAAGGTCAGCAGTTCAAAACCACAGGCTGTTCCATGGGAGAAAGATGAGGCTTTCTGCTCCCGTAAAGATTTATAGCCTTTGAAACCCTGTGCAGGGTCGCTCTTCTTAGCAAGAGCAGAAAGCCTCATCTTTGTCCTGCACAGTGCCTGGTGGGCTGGAACCCATGCTTTTCATACGAATGCTTTGACTAGATTTTCCTAATGTCATCTGTTGACATGAAAACAACCGCCTGACTGTAAGCTACAAGCAAACTTGGGACTGCTACCCCTGGAGGGAATCTCTACATGGGGAGAGCTAGCAGGTCTCAGAACCGTGTATGAAACCAACAAAAATGGCCGTCTTGTGAAAGAGAGGCCTCAGTGCAGTTGTGTTTCGGGTCAAGCTCTTGTTGAGATTGTAGGGTTCAGCAGCTGAGAGGCAGGGCCAGGGAATTGCCAAGAGAACTGACGAGGAGGGAGGGGCCATTCTGAATGCATGGGTGGACTTGAAGGTACAGCTGGAGCGATTCCTATTTAATAGAAAGTAACCATTTGATCATTATAATCACTTTTAAATGCATACATTGATTCTTTTAAATGCCAGAAAGCATGACAGAAAAGACAAGCAAGGAAGTAGGCATTTCTGTCTCATGGGGAATTTTGTGGTAAACATGCCAAGAGATGCAGCCATTAAATTAAGAGTACCAAAGGGAAACACTCTCCTACACTGGACTTTTAAGCAGAAGGGACACATTGTCTACAGTGTAGAGCAGGAAAGAGCAGGTTGTCACACTGAAAAATCGTTATTAATTTGCGTCGTCAGATCTCACAGATAACCTTGACCATTTCACCAGTAGATGACTCGGGCACCAAAGTCATCTGCAGGCCAGTGGTGACCTTCTGAATGCCGCTGGTCCCTCAGCATCCAGGACAAATTCTTCTATCCAGGATCCCCTGGAGACAATTTACCTGAAGCACATCTAGGTTTTCTTTTGTGTTTGAAACCATTGTAATGCTTGCATTTCCCCTTTGGGCTTCTTTGGTTTGCTTTGCATCTCTCCTGGCCATTTTCTGATAATTTCACATAGAACATGTTATACATCTTTCTTAGTGGCCTTGGTGGCTCAGTGGTTCTCTGAGGAACTGTAAGATCAGCAATCAGCAGTTGAGTGCAGGGAGCCAGGAAATTGTCTGTCGTCTGCTCCTGGAAAGGGCCACAGCCTAGGAAGCAGCAGGGCCGCTCGGCTCTGTGCACTTTGTTTACTACGACAGCAAGCAGCAGCTAAGTACCCTAACACACTCAGTATTTCTCATTTCCAAAGTGGTTTTAAACCAGCAAACCCCTAACTTGCCTCTTCATCTGCTATTGCTGCTGTTGTTGTTGAGTTGTATGCTGACCACAACACGATGGAAGGAAGCCTCATCATCCTCATGATGGGTGTGGATTGGACTGTGTGACCATGTGGTTTTCATTGGTGGTTTTTCAAAGTAGATGACCAGGCCTTTCTTCCTAGTCTTTCCTCGTTCTGAATGACAGCAGTACTCAGGCCAGTGGTGGCTGTGGGGGAGGAACCAAACCCAGGCTCTGTAGATGGGAGCTGGCCGCCCCTCCGTCCTGTGGTCCTGTGTACAAGCCCCGCCCTCATTTGTAGAGTGTGGCTTCCTGGTGCCACAGAGCCTCGGAGGCTGCTATCAAAGGCTACTCTCAGGTCTGTACCAGCCCTGTGTGCTGTTCTCAGCTGAATAGGAACAAGGGACAAGAGGGAGGGTGGGGGTGGAAACTGGCCAAGCTTGTTTACATGCTGGGCCTGCTAGCTGGACCGTGGTGGGCAGCATGGGCCCCTCCCACGATGAGGGCACCAGGAAAAGACAGGCGAGGCCTCCCAAGCAGACAACTTCTAATGCAGACACTGGAAGACAAGCTCTAAGCTGCCTGAAAAAATGTCCTCAAGACCCAGGCATGGAAATGGCACCTAAACGGGGCACTGGTGATGCCATGAGTCAGTCAGTGGGCTGCTAACCACAAAGTTGGCTGTTCAAATCCACTAGCTGCTCCAAGGGAAAAAGTGAGGCTATCTGCCCCCATAGGATTGGTAGTTTTGGAAAACCTACCCAGAGTCACCGTGAGTCAGAGTGGACTCGATGGCAGTGGGTTTGGGGAAAGGGTGAAATGAATGGACTAGACGCCATTGGGCTGTTAACCACCAGCTGCTCTGCAGGACAGAGGTGAGCCAGTCTGCCTCTGAAAGCATGGCAGCCTTGGAAATCCTGAAGGAGTGGCTCTGTTCTGTCCCATCGGGTCCCCGTGAGCAGCTGTCAGCTCGGTGGCAGTGAGTTTGATTTGGTTTAATATGGGGTGAAGTGAATTGACAGCAGTGTTTTGGTTCATTTTGGTCTATGGGGTAAAATGCACACATCCGTCCTACAGGCCACCAGAGTGATTGTGATGAGAAGTCAGCTTACAAGGATGGAACCATAGCGTTCCTGGTGTAAAGAAAATGCTCCTCGGCACTAGAAGCAGGTGCTGTGAGAACAAAACTGTGCTCTACGTCCCATGGATTTTCCAGACTCAGCTTGCCAGCCCTTTCGTCTGTGGTACCTCTGAGTAGACAGGTAGATGCAAACTTCCAATATTTGGGTGATAGCAGCCTAACAAGTTAACCATTGGCTCCACCTAGGGAGTCCAGATTTGTTCCCTCACTAAACAGCAGTTCAGGTTAATATGTTCAGGTAGAGCACCTCAGTGTGATTACAGTTCACACTTTGACTTATTTATTTCTCCATACTTGAAGTGTCCTTCTTTCACCTTGATGGTTCTAGAGACAAAAAGATTTGGGGAACACTAGACTAGAGGAGGTAGATTTGGGGAGTGCTGGGTTAGAGGAGGTAGATTTGGGGAGACTAGAGGAGGTAGATTTGGGGAGCCCTGGGTTAAACGAGGTAGATTCAGGGAGCGCTAGGGTACATTCAGGGAGCACTAGATGAGAGGGGGTAGATTCAGGGAGCATTAGATTAGAGGAGGTAGATTCCGGAGCGCTGGGTTAGAGGAGGTTGATTCCGGAGCGCTGGGTTAGAGGAGGTAGATTCCGGAGCGCTGGGTTAGAGGAGGTAGATTCCGGAGCGCTGGGTTAAAGGAGGTAGTGTGCTGGTATGTAGCTCCAACCTCCAAGAGGAGGATTTCAGTTATTTAAGCAACAAAGGCTACTCTTTTGCCTAATCCCATGGGCATTGCTGGTGAACAGGTGAGCGCACAGGTAGAAGTGCTAGTATATTTCAAATGATCCCTGGTAGTGCAGTGGGTTAGGCATCGGGCTGCTAACTATAAGGTCAGCCTTTTAAACTCACCAGCCACTCTGCTCCTGTTGGGATTTACAGTCTCCGAAACCCTCTGGAGCCCTCTCCTCTATTCTCCTGCCTCACCATGACTGGAAGGCAGTGGGCTTGTTGGGGTCTGACAAAACTAAATGAAGTATATATAGAATGGTTACTAACAAAACAATACACATGAAGTAACTGGATGTGCTTTGAAAGTCTAAACCATAAGTGCTATGTTGTATTTTTATGTTGGGTTGTATGTTCAGTAGACATATTCCAAGCTATACTTTCATCCTTTAATGAAAGGTTTTTTTCTTTTTCAGCATTAGTGCATTAAGGACTTATAACCTCTCTTAGATTAGTGCAGTGCTACTGAAAACAAAAATTAGAGGAAAGAAACCTAATGTCTTTCTTTGCAAGTTTCAGCCCAAAGTGTTGTGAGGAACGGACAACCCATCATTTTTATAGTCACAGAAAGAACGCAGAAGTACTTCATGGGAATACAAGAATGTCACAAAATTAAAGGCAATTTCCCCAAAATTACTGTAACAGAACAAATGACTCCGTTATGGCATTGGGATACTAGGCCCCTCACTGAACTGGAGGGCTCTGGAAATCTCTCAGATTTAGAGGGAGAGGCACGCAAGGGAGGGGGAGCCGCAGTGTCCGCTGGCATCATTGCTCCTGAGCGGACGTACAGCCTTTCGTAGGCCCGGGCATCCTGTGCATTCTCATCTGATGGGTCTGTGACAGCAATTACATGCCACTTTAGAACAAGGACAGGTTTTTGTTTTGTTTTTCCAACTGGCTGTGTGCCTTGTATCCTTTCAGTGAGTTTTCATTAAGGTCAGTGAATGGTCCGTGCTGAGGAAGGCCGAGGGAACCCAGTGAGTCTCGTGGTAGGCGTGCAGGCTGGATGTGGACTTGGGACAGGTGCTGGGCTGGAGTTGTGTGAGATGATGCCACCTTTCTGGTTCGGTGGTGGGATGTGAAGGTGGGTAAAGGAGGATGAAGAGTCCTCTCTTTAGTGTGTCTCTCTCTCTTTTTTAAATGTTTTATTGTGAATTATGTGATAGTTTACATGGGAGAACATTAGTTTTACATTCATCCTATCATATTTCATTTCATTGCCATGGTTACAATCCCCTCCATGCATCATCAACCAACCAAAGGGCATATATAATACAAGCCTGCTCCGCGGTCATCAGCACATAGCCCCTCTCCCTCTCTGTGTCTAAAGTCCCCAGCTGCTCCATCTCTCCACATCATCGTCTCTGCCTCCATCTCAGGCATCACTGCTTCTCTGGGTAGGGTCCTGCTCTCCGCTCTTCTCCCTTGATGGTCCCAGCGAACAACCGCTCCTAGACTGAAAAGTTAATCACTCCACTCCTTGCTACAAAACGTCTACCTTTACATTTCCAACCCTCACAAGCAATCCTGATAACAATTATTCACTATTGTATCACAAGAGACCCATCCGCATTTCATTTCATCAGCCCCGCCTAGACAGATTGGATACTACTCAGTGGAGAGTCTACCTTCCTTCATGCTCTCTGCATCTAGGTTCCCTCTTGAAAGCTTGTAAGCCAGTCACTTCTTGCCTTTGTAGATCCCCCTCCCCATTTTGGGTAGCCAATGTCCAAGTTGCCCATCCCTGTCTACTCTGTGTGTGGAGGGGGTGGGAATGATCCTTACTGTAAGGATTTGTTCCCTCTTTTGAGCTACTGCATCCATAGCTGTAGGTCAAGTTCATCAAATTGTATCAGATTACTCTTTTTTTCCTCTTCTTTCTTCTTCTAGTTGAGCTCTGATCATCCATCCAGTCATTGAAGCCAAGTCAAGTGGGTATTATCTGCAACTGTGGGTGTTCTTGTGCATATGCCCTTTTAGTGTCTCTCTTCATAGGATGCCCAGAAATTCCACAAGTATGAGGGGCTTTACCAAACAGAAATGTAGTCTCTCACCGTTCAGGAGGCTAGAAGTCCAAATTCAGGGCTCAATTTCTGTCCAGCTCAATCTGTTCCAGCTGCTAACCAGCCATTCTTAGAGTCCTTGGGTTCCTGACGGGTCTGCCCGAGTCTTCCGATACCCATGGATTTCCCCCACATCTGCTGCCTTCTCTCCCTCATCTGCTCTTTAATGTCTCAGGCATGATTCATTTAAAACATCCGACACTGGCATGGAACCATTAACATAACAAAGTACTAATCCCAAATGGGTTTACAGTCACAGGTATGTTGTTGTTGTGAGGTTCTGTTCAAGTGGGTTCTGACTCTTCGAGACCCTGTGGGCAGCAGAAATAAAACCCTGGCTAGTCCCGAGCCACCCCCACAATCTCAGCTGTTTGAGCTTATTGCTGCAGCCACTCTGCCACTCCATCTCAGTGAGGGGCTTCTTCGTTTTCACAGACCACGTCCCTTTTAATGACATGTCCAAAGTCTCACCATCCTGGTTTCCAAGGAGCGTTCTGACTGTGCTTCTTCCAACACAGATTTGTTTATTCTTCTGGCAGTCCGTGGGACTTTCTTTATTCTTTATCAACCCAGTAATTCACTGTCCAGCTCTCACATGCACATGAAGTGATTGAAAATACCATGGCTTGGGCAGGTTACCTCTTAGCCTTCAAAGTTACCTCTTTGTTTTTTTTTTAACACTTCAAAGAGGTCTTTTGCAGCAGATTTGCCCAATGCAAGACGTCACTTGATTTCTTAAATGCGGCTTCCAGGGATGTTGGTTATGGATCCAAGTAAACTAAAATCCTTGATAACGCCAGTCTCTTCTTCATTTCTCATGCTGTGGTTTCAGGATCCGGTTCTTACGGTTTTCATGTCCTTTACACTGAGGTGCAATCCATACTGAAGGCTGTGGTCTTGAATCTTCAGATTAAATCAAGTATGGTGAAAGAATACAACCCTGGTGCACCCCTTTCTGTTGGAACAACTGCTTCTTGGTCTATGTACAGGTTCCTCGTCAGCACCATTAAGTGTTCCGGAATGCTCTTTCTCTGCAAGTTTGTCATGATCCACACAGTGGAATGCCTTTGCGTAGTCAATGAAGCACATGTGAGCATCTTTCTGGTTTTGTCTGCTTTCAGCCAAGATCCAGTGGTGTTGGCACTGGTATCCCCCTCACTTCATAGCACAGGGGTCAGGATTTACAGCACACATTTTGGGATGCAATTCAGTCCATAGCACAGGGGCAGATCCTACTAGCTGTATCTTAGGAATTTGCTTTCCTGCTCTTTCCTTCCCACCAAGCCCACCTCACCGCTCCCCACTGGGTCCACATTTTCTGCACAAGGACCCTGTGTCCATTCTTCCTGGAAGTGGCCTGTTGCCCATCTCCCCCTGCAGGTGGGCCTTCTTGGTCCTTGTCTGGGTGATGTGGCTGTGACCCCAGCCTGTAACTTGCTGTTTCCAGGGGCAGTGGCAAGTCCCCTGCCAGTCCAGTCCAGAACACGGTGTGTCAGCTGATCTGACCCTGCAGAGCCACTGGTGGGTTTGAACCACTGACCTTTCAGTTGGCAGCTGCACACTTAACTACTTTGTCCCCAGGGCCCATCTTAGAAATGTCATGTAAACACATACTTATGAATTATTCATATGGGGGAGGTGCTCATGGAGTCATTTTGGAAAGAAGATTGAGCCCCAAAGTGATTCTCCCCCACATAACTTTGGGGAGAAATGAGACAATACTCGCTGGAACACTCTGCTATTTATTGGCCTTGTCTTTGATTGGCCTCATTACTGTGTATTTTAATGACTTAAAAACATTGGTCAGGAGCCCCCCAATGAAAAGACGTCCAGGGAACATCCACCTGCATGCACCGGGCAGCGCCCAAGCCCCTGAGCTGTGGATAGCTCTTCCCAACTCTGGTCCCTGTGAAGCTCCTCAGGGCCTCAGCTCACCTGTTGTCGATGGTGATGCTTTTCAGGTGCCAATGGAGGGAGCTTGGCCGGTG